TGACATTCATGCTCCATCATTTATTCATTTTCGGCGCCGAAAAGTTTTCCAACCCTGCGCTTCGGCCTCTTTCTCTTGGAAAATTTAATTGACTTTTCCCGGCGAAAAATTAGCAGCTACTTCTGCCTTCGTTTTCCATCAGCTATTCTGATTTCGGGGGCATAACTAAGGCAAATATTGGACCAACACCCCCATGTACGCCCCGCCCGGCTTGGACTGAGATTTGTGTTTGAGGGCGGGGCTGCTGACTTGCTATTTGGCCTGGCAATTAACTTTCTTTTGTTTGCGGTAAACTTGCAGCCTTTTGTGTGATTTCGGCTAGTATTCGGCTAGAATCGGCGAATGTTTGAGTGGATTTTGGGGGGGTTGCAGGCCCCTTTTGGTAATGAATTTTCATTGCTAGTTTAGGCCAGCTGTCGGTATTTTTGTTCAGTATAGTTTGAAAATTGGTTTGCCCGAAAGCGACAATGAATACCATAAAGAATAAATATTTTCTCTATAAATGAAAAATAACTTTTAATTTTTATTATTATTTCTGCCACAAACAATGAGTTTTTATGTAAATTACAATCATATAGATATATGAAAGTTCTTATTAAGTGTAATTTTCGAAATGAAATTGCCATTTTGTTGTTTTTTCCACTTTCTTTTGTTCCGAGTTCTTGTAATCCGATTTCTAGAGTTTCCACTGTCGTACTATTTTCGTTGCATACTTTTTGGGGCTTCTTTGTTCTTTACTTCAGGGAATGAAAACGGTCGAAGACTCTAAGCCCCTTCCTGTACAACATTAATTAAGTAAACTACACAGAACACTGCAGCTGCATTCTCCATTTGTGCAGTTGGCAATTTCAATTAGCCAAATATATTGAAAACTCCCTCAGCCCCAGGAAATCTGCGTCTAGGTTTCCTTCCGTATTTTTTTTCGTGATCGTCTCTGTTGGAGGAAATTTTTAATAAATTAAATTAAACTTATCAGATCCGTTTGGAATCCTTGTTATATTGCAGTACTTGCCGGAATTTCTTTATCTTGTTCTGCATTTTAATTATCAAGTCCCTTCCATTCCTAAGGGCCACAAATGACTCTTTCATGATGTGGGAGACGATTTTATTGCAACCGTTTGCAATATCACTCATAAAAGTATTTTGAGCAAATAGTCTGGAAGCATGTAGTGCCAAAACCATCATCAGTAGCCAAAATTTCGTACCCATGTCGTTAAAATTGGTATTGGAGGCTAAAGTAAAATTGTTGAGTTTTTCTAGAGTCTAGACTGTAGACTTTAGAATAATTGTCTATAACTATACCAAAGGGTACTCGATCCCTTTTTATAGAAATAATAAAATTATTGGAAAGACCTTCGACTTCAAAACATATGGTAAAAATTTTGAAATTTTCGTAATAGAAAGATGTGAATACCGTGGCTCATACTGGGCAGATCAAAACATCCTATACCCTCCCGATAGATTGATGCGGACTAATTCTCTGATTCACACAAGATATTTCCCTTTTGAATGGCTTGCGAAATAGTTGAAATATTGTAAAAAGTATACCAAAGTTGCCAAAAACAAAAATGTCGTACGATGTTAGGTTTATTGTATAGGTTTTTGTTTCCTTTGGAGAATTTATTCCACATCTAAATCGATCCCTACTGGGAAATTCTACTCTCAGGACGTGCAGCCGCATAAATGCTTTGTATAGTCTTACTACAACCAATGTCCTTTTCATACCATTTATTTATGTTCTACGATTTCTACTGTCTCGAGTTCTTTTCGTTGTTTATGGTTCTTTTTTAGTAACTTCACGTCTACTCATATGTTTTGCTTTATGATTTTCACGCCCGCATTCAGAGGCTTTGAAACTGCAATGAAAACAAGAAAGGAAAGCTAACTTCGGGCGGAGCCGAAGTTTATATACCCTTGCAGCTAAAACCGGATATATATCGCAAACATCGGATATAGTTGGCCGATCCTTATGAAATTTGGTAGGATGGATCAAAATATAATCTGTACCAAGTTCCAGCTTTCTATCTTCAAAAACACAAAAGTTGGGTCATTTCCGATCGTTCAGTTATATGGCAGCTATAGGATATAGTCGGCCGATCCTAATGAAATTCGGTAGGTTGGATCAACTAACCAAAAATAGAGTCTGTACTAAATTCCAGCTTTCTATCTTCAAAAACACGAAAGTTGGGTCATTTCCGATCGTTGAGTTATATGGCAGCTATAGGATATAGTCGGCCGATCCTTATGAAATTTGGCATGTCGTATTATTTTGCCAAAAATAGCTCTCATGTCAAATTTGAACTCTCTAACTCTAAAAACACCAAAGTTATACCATTTCCGATCAATCAGTTATATGGCAGCTATAGGATATAGTCGGCCGATCCCGGCCGTTCCGACTTATATACTGCGTGCAAAGGAAAGAAGGGTGTGTGCAAAGTTTCAAGACGATAGCTTTAAAACTGAGAGACTAGTTTGCGTAGAAACAGACAGACGGACAGACGGACAGACGGACATGCTCATATCAACTCAGGAGGTGATCCTGATCAAGAATATATATACTTTATAGGGTCGGAGATGTCTCCTTCACTGCGTTGCACACTTTTGGACAAAATTATAATACCCTCTGCAAGGGTATAATAAGAAAATTGAAAGGAGACTACGCCGACGTTGTGATGGTCCTTTATACATTTTTCTAAAGGTAGTACCTGATATTATTTTAAAAATCTTTTTAGGAACTGTAGGATTGTGATTTTTGAATTTTGAGTTGATTATAAATTAATTTTAAGCTGTCTTTGAGTGTGTTTATTATGCCGACTTTATTATTCCACAATATTCCTAGCTGAGAAACATTTTTTTCCACATTAACGCCTGCACACGCCCGCGCCATTTTGTGGCCGTGTGCACCCGGCTTTTTCTATTTTCCTGCCATACCGCCAGCGTGTGCTCCTTCCGTCTCCTCCCCGGACATCCACAGATGTACAAAACCCACACATTAATAACTTTTTTATGGCGGTCGCATAAAAACGCAACAAAACCCACCGCCCAACATTGGATTCCATTTTCGTGTGCACTTTTCTCTTCGTTTTTTTGTACGTTTTACTAAAAAGTTTTCTGTGTGTGGCTGTTGTAGTTGTTAAATCGCACACGTGTTTTGTAAAACATCGCCATATCCTTCATATCCTTTAATACATGTCCCTCTGCGTGAGCAGACCAGAGTGATTTTCCTCCTACTACAGCTTCTACTACTATTTTTAACTGCAATTTGTTGCCAAGGAGCTTAGCGAATGATGTCCAGAGGGAAAAGTTTCTTTCAACACAAAGTAATTTTATGGAAATGAAAATAAAATAAATAAAAAAAATTATTTGAACTTACAAGGGCTTTTAGTCTTAACAGAACATCATTTGTTACTTAATATAATTTTTTTTGGTGAAATATTTTTTCGGTGCATTTACAGATTTCCGCGCCTGGATTTTATTTCGGACTTTTCACCGCACACACATGTGTTTCGAATGCTTTTGTTTTCCGCCGCTTGTTTTCCTTTTTCCGATGTTTTTTTGGCCGCGTTTTCTTCTTTGGGAGAGTATTTAGAAAACAAGTGTAATCAAAATTATATGGGCGTGGATTTCTCGGTGGCACTCGTAAATTTCAAGGCTTACGGCCATGTGTTTCAAGTGCTTTTGGTTGGAAACGGGGCCGGACTGGGGTGATGATAGTGGGACTTGGCTAGCGGGTGTTGGCAAGTTATGATTGAATTTCAAGCTGCTTTTGTGTCCGTAGTTTGTCTGCACCACAGACATGTGTATTTGCTTCTAATGGGAAAAGTTTTGGCTCTACAATCGGTTGGTCGGTTGGTGAGGAAAATGGGAATTTTCACAGGTTCACGAAAGGTGCAAATGCAATTAAGAGGACCTTCCTTTATGTTACTGTTCATTCACGTATGGAATGGAAATTCTCTTGAAAAGTAAACTTTTCAGACAAAAGTGGTTGGGTAAGAATTAAATTATTTAAAATTTAATAAGTCAGTCATGCATAATTTTAATGAAAAGTATTTTCCATAAATTGCTGAAAGGCTTCCCCCATTCAAATAACAACACTTGACATTTTTTCAGTCTTTAACAATAAAATAAAGTTTTTATTTTTGCATTTTCCACTTGTGTGTCTGTGTTTGTGTTTATGTTCGTCCTTCGATTGGCGTCCTTTATGCTTATGTTGTTTTTATACACTTATAATTGTTCGTTTGCCGCAGGACCTGCGCTATGTTACACCGACTATCAATAATTGCTATAATTAATATGCATTTCCATCAGCTTAAATGCTACACAAATCTGGCTTGGACTTTAATTTCGTACTATATAGTTATCTACGGCCAATTTAAATCAAGGACTCAATTAAATGCGCTGAAAACAAATGCTCAACAGTTGGCAAACACTGAAGTTTGCCGCTTCTTTAGTTCAGTGATTTTTCACAGGACTACAAATATTTAAATGGCAGTTTTAACTCTTATTTAGTGGGGTGTGTGGGCTAGGTTGGGTGTACAAAATTTCCATAAAGTGGCAACAAAATGTTTGCTTGTTTTTGTTTGTTTGTTCACTTAAGTGCTATGACTACAACGTCATTTAAAAAATTGAATTAAAAATTATTCCATTACGCGTTTAGAATTAATTAGTTCAACAAATATACAATTACATTTAAAATTACAGTTACAGTTAGAGTTAGAGTTAGCATTACAGTTGTAATTATAATAATCGTATTTGCATTAAGTTTAGCACATGGAGGACATTTATTGCTACATAATACATTCATATAGTTTATGGTTTCCTTTTCGTGTTTTCTATACATATACATAGATGAAGCACAGATGTGAGCATCGCGTAGGTTGTTGTTTTTCCAGTGTATGAGTTGCATAGTGTATATGAGAGATATTATTATTTTGTGTGTAGCTGGAAAATAGTTTAATGTGTGACTACTGAATTAAATGTTAAGCCAGGCGCGATACGTACAGCTCACATCTCGTTTAATGCCATAATTATAATACTTATTTTATTTATATACGTCAATTAATTAATGGTAGGGCACATTTAAAGCTTTCACAAAAATCAAAACTGATCTCGAATGTCTAACCTAACACTTGCGTCAAAACGGAAAAGATCGAATGCCACGAAATAAATGAAAGCCTACAGAATACAACTCGACTTAGAACTAGAGTCTCAACTTATATGCATAGTTTTGGTTCAACAAGCTTGCTTCCGTATCCACTAATATTTTTTTTCTTTAATAAACTCAAACAATAGCCTAGGGTCAACTTTTGATTTTGATCGCTTACTTTCTTCTTGTTTTTTTTTTGTGATTTTTTTTTCTGTTTCAGGGGGATAGAGAATGAACTTTATACAAAGCCACTACGAACTACGACTGTATTTTGTGGGAGGGCGGGGTGTCGGTCTACGTGCTAAACTCTAAGTAACTCTCGTTGGCCGCCTCGGGATCGGGAGTCTGGTCCGGGGTCTGGTCGGCCGTCTGTTGGCGCGACTTGCCCTCCCAGCCCCCCGTCCGTGGTCCCGTCTCATACTAGACGTACGCCTGCGCCCGGGTCCGGGGCTCCTTTCCTTGCAATCGCTCCACAAAGTTCCGCCAGCTGACCATCGTCTTGCTGGAGTACAGCCACACGCTCGAGGTCACACCCACGAGCATCGAGCAGAGATACTTGACCATAAAGATCTGGAAGATGGGCCGAGCCTCCGGAGTGCCCGGCGCTCTGGCCGCCGGACAGGGGATCGAGAAGGGCTTGCAGATGTCCCGGTGCCACTGGATCATCCACTCGTCGAGGTTGTAGTACTCATAGAACAGACAACCCAGTAATCCCACCGCCGGTAGGATGAAGAGCCCGGAAAAGAAGCCAATCCTCAGCATCAGGCGCTCCAGCTTGTCGGTTCGCTTTCCGTCCGTCTTCATGACGGTCCGGATGCGGAAGAGTGAGATGAAACCGGCCAGAAGGAACAGAGCCCCAATCCAGAGATAAATGCAGAGTGGCAGGATCAGAAAAGTGCCCAGGGAGTGAGTGTCCAGTTGGCCAACAAAGCAAACGCCCGAGAGGATGTCGCCTGGAAGAAAATTAAGAAAAATTATGTTATTTAACGACTTGAAATATAAATATTTGAAAATAAACGTTGATTATGATTCGAACAAATATGTAAACTTTCTTTTTAGCAAATTTCCGTGAGCGAGCGTTGACCTTTCAAAAGCAAACAGCATTTAATGTCAACAAATGCGTTGAATATTCGTCAAGCATAACTGTTGATTGCGTTTGGGGGGTAAAAGGCAGAAAGTCTGATAAACAATGTTTAATTTTACCATTTCATGTACCTCTTTCGGGGTAAATATTTACATTGCGATAGCCCCCAACGGCAGCGGCGATAGCTGCCCCCCAACCATCCGCCCTTTCGGTTCAAAGTCAGTGCGCCGCTTGTTTAAACATTTTACGAGCGGTTAGGCCAGCCCCATCCCCACCTGCCCCAGTCCGTACCCCTACTCATTAGCGTTATTTATAAACATGTTACCATACCCCATCGCAACCTCACACCTGATCGCCCCTCGGTTCATGAAACCCCCTAATGAATCCATCATTCGTTCGGCGTGCCATATTTCCGCTCATAAATTATCGATTAGCCCCTCGTTGAAGCTCCTTTTTTTGCCTAGGTGACATGTTAATTTTGTTTTTTTTTTTGAGTGGAAACTGGTCGGAGTTTTCCAGGCTGTTGCCACAGGAAAATTTGACATGCTTCGTTGAGTAGTAATACTTGCAATTAATGTGCTTCATTTCACTTTTGTTTTCGTTTTTTTTCGCGAGTGTCTTTAAGGTAAAAAACAAGTTTAAAATTAAGTGGTTTTTGTGGTCTTCTTTTTCTTGAATATCGAGCAAATAAACCAAGGAGGTTTTCACTTACGGCCCAAAACATTATAATCCAGTTTTTATAGGCCTACTTCTAACATAAATCCTTAACCCATCGATGGCCTGACATTTATAGCCAATGGAGGCGCATTCTGAGCGCCAGATGGCGCCTTTACAAATCGCCTGCCTTTGAAGATATCTATGTGCGACTGGAAGCCTGAAATATAACTTTATACCATAAAAGTCATGTCATGCTGACAAACCGGGAACCCATTCAAAATGCGCCCGAAAGAGCGAGGAGTATTCTATTCTCCAAACAGTAGATGGGGCAAATTAAGCGAGTTGAGAACCGGGAAAATGCCGATAAACGAATACAATAAATAACAGCAGGCAGTCTCCAACTTCCGCCATGAGAAAAGGAATCCTCCATAGCCGCAAAATTCGAGTTGAGCCCACATTTAAATTCCTTGGGATATAAATCAGAATTGAGGTACAAAATATGATGCCGAATCTATTCGAAAGCGATACGAAATGCCACCTGCCGGTGCTTCTTGCTGCGATGACTCCTATCTACCACCAAGTCAGCCCCAGTTCCAGTTTCCCTTCCGATATGGATCTTAATTTATATCTGAGTCTGAGAATGGCTCTTTGAATCCAAATGAAACGAAATGAAACGAAATCAAATGAAATGCAAGGCAGGGAAACCGGACTTTTGGTCTCCGATCGAGTATTGATAAATGAAGAGCGGTGCTGGGTCCACTGCAACATCGTCCAAGAACCAGTTCTGGTCGTGTCCTTATTGCAAAAAGTCAGCGGCGGAAACCAGTTTCTTATTTTTTCACTTATTTCAGCTTTTTTAGCATTTTGGAAAATTTCAAGAGGCCAACTTGCTGTGACAATTCCTGAGGTTCTGCAGTTGAAAGCCTGTCAGGAGCATGTATACACAGTGAAAAGTTACTATTAATTTATGATATTAAAATAGAATGGGGTAAGATATTTGATATAGTACATAGTTAATTAAAATACTATACTTTTGTTTTATTTTTGTATTTTTTAGATTTTTTTTTTAACATTTTTGTTGACAATGTACTTCCTGTGTTTCGCAAAGACTTGCAGCAGCCACATCACCACAGCCACAGAGGCAGCAACAACAATGCATGTCAATTGTTTTGTGTGGCATGGGGAATGCATGTTGCACTGAGAGAAACGGGTTCCCACAGGGAACAGGCGGGGGACTCAGGGGACTTTTTCAGCTGTCAGTCAGTCAGGACTTGCACTTCTCCTTCCTCAGCTTCCCCAGCTCCTTGCCCTTGCTGGAACTTTACCAGTTCCTCCTCTTGATGATGAAGTGCCGACAGCAGAATTCCATTTTTAGCCAATGCCACATTGCATTTGATTATGAACCCCAAAGCCAGCCAGCAGTTACATTTGCTCCTTTTGTTCTGGCTGGTAATACCAAGTGGGTAATACTATTGTCCACTGCCCAAAGGTGTTAATCTGGTGAGCAAATACCTACTGGAATGCAGGCAACCAGGCTGCAATCACCTTGATGAACGACACAAAGGTACAGCTTTGTGTAACCAGAATGTTAAGAGGGAGCTTGAGATGAGAGGAAAGTGACTCTTTGTCGCCTTTTAGGGCTTGGAGTTTGGGGCTTCCTAAACTAGTTTCTTAAACATTAAACTATTTTAACTTTTTCACACATGAATGTACATTGGACCTTTAATTTTTCCTTCTGCTTTTTAGTTTCCGCTGCAAAGTCAATCCCACATGACATTTCACCTGCTCAACTGGCTCAACTCAGTTCCTGTTGACGTGGCCCTCCCCGTCCAGACCACTATCTGCCGCATATCTATGTAAAACTCTTGTACACATGCTGATGATGAAACTGTCAACTGTCATTTAAAATTTTAATCGCATGTTCTTCTGCCTTCCGTCTCTGTCTCTGACTCTGTGTCCGTCCCTGGCTTTGTCGCCAGAGACCCCAGCAAGAACGATGAGAGTTGAAGATTTTTAATTACTGTGGCACCACCATCAACCACCACCAACCACACCGACACACAGAAGTCCCCGCCATCGGCGACCCGCGCCACTGTCACTTGCTTATCGCGGAGCTTTATAAAAATATTATACCGGGGCGACAGTCATTGGGTCCTCAGTCCTCTTTCTGTGTCTTTTCCTTTCATTGCTTGTGCTCCGCTGCTCCATTTAGATAAATGACACATAAATTAAGCAATTTTCCTTTTATGCTACCCGCTACTCATTGCCAACATTGGGGGCATGTTGGCCAACAGAGATGGCCTGTCAGACATACATATGTGAGCGGAAAAATCGCGAATGTCGACCCAGTTTTTCCTCTCAAGAGTTTCCTTTCTGTGAAAAGTGAAAAACTATCAGCATTACAGGGTCTATCCTGGTCCTAATCATGACCAGTAATGCTTCTCCCTTTCTCGTGGTAAAATAATTATAAAACAATTGTCAAGCTGCTTACTTAGCTCCTTCTATAAACCTCGTTATGATCGTCCGTTAGCGGGCTATTTGTCCAATGTGAGCGTTGACCCATTCGCTGGAAGAGGAGGCGTGAAAAGGGGGGCGGTAGTGGTGGCAGTGGGGGCACAAAGCTGGGGCACAGCTGTTTTAGTAACGAGAATTCTATCTCAATAAAAGTTTATTTGCTCTCTTAATGTGTTTTTTTTTCTATCATTTTATGGACAGCGCTTCTCAAGTGTTAGATAAACATTTTGACAACAGAGTCATAAAGTTGCCATTGGTAATAAGTGGCTCAAGGGGCTGGGCTGGGCAGCTGTTCGTGTGGGGTTAAGGGAAAAGTTGTCTATTATGCAATTTGTATTTTACTATCGCATTTAATTCAAGAACTTTTATGGGGGATTTCAAGATAAGTTGGTTAAAAAAAGGTTGTAGATCCCAAGAAGGGGATAAGGTGGGGCATTCTTATTTTAAACCAGTCTACAGTCTGATACCTCCTCCCACGTAATATCCATTAAAAGCAACACACATTTAAATATCTTGCCAAATTTAAGGTTCAACAACCTGCTGCCTAAAAACTTAAAGGAAGAACCAACAACAATCCCTAACTAAAGCACTAAAGCACCGACACGCGACATTAAAAACGTGGCAGGCAATAAAAATTGAGGTCAACAGCAATGGCAGCTAATGAATAACAAAGAAAAACGGCAACCGACATCGGGGCACACAACAACAAGTGGGGCAAGAAGGAAAAAGAGTTGCCGTGTCGCATAATTTCGCATTGAAAATGTCAACAGCAAAACGATGTAGAAAAAACGCGGGGCAGGCAAAAGGGGAAAGAGTTGGGGCCGGGACCGGACAGCCACTCTTATCAAGATGCGCAATTAAATATGGAAATGTGCAACGGAGACGCGAAAAGGGGGCCAAATGTAAAGCGCCACAAAATGGAATATGCAACGAAAACGCAACAACTGCAACAGCAACATGAAATCTGCACACGCGACAAGTGTCATTAGCAACCCACAACCCTCCCCCCCTAAAAAAATATAGAACATTTTTTTTCGTGCAACAATTAAATGTCATTGTGGTTGGACATTTTATTTAGTAAAAGTTCATGAGGCAACCACAGAATGCGGGTGTGCTGATATATATAAGTTAAGTCTTGTTGTTGCTGTTCCTGGTGTTTCACATTTATAGTTGCGCAAATATTTGAAAATTAAACACAAAAAGGCGGATACTGGCAGAGGCGGGTGTGTGTACGCACTCTGTCCCGAAATTTGTTGAGAATTTATATTACGTGTCGACATCAGCAAACAGCAACAATTAGGAGCAACAGCAGCTGGCGGCAGCAGCAACATTGGCCAAGGTTCAATTCAGTTCACACACCCAGACAAGGCAAACAATTTCAATTTGCATGTAGAGGAAGCCCCCTAACACCAAATACTACAAGCACACCCAGGCACACAGGCACACATTGGCACAATTGGATGTCGAAAGTTCAAAGTTGTAGGCAAGAATGTGTGAGAAGTACAATGGGGGTGGCATAGTCGGACTAAGTTAGAACCTTTCTTTAAAGATATGAAAGATATGAGGGAGTTAAATGTACATAGCATTAATTTTAATTTAAAAAAAATATTATTTTAAATGCTGGGATAAATAAGTTATACGCCCTTGTCTCTTGTGTATCTCGGAGTATTGGATTGGACTCTTAAACAAAGATGATAT